AAATGGCTTTTTTGGCGGGGGGAGGGGGATAGAAAAAAATCATCCTAAAATTCATATGGAATCTCAAAGGACCTTGAATAGACAAAACAATCTTGAGAAAGAAAAGCTGGAGGTCTCACAATTTATGATTTAAAAATACATTGCAAAGCTACAGTAATCAAAACAGCATGGTGCTAGAATAAAGACAGCCGTATAAGACCAGTAGAACAGAATAGATGCCCAGAAGTAAACCCTCACCTATATGAGCAAGTGATCTTCAACAGTGGCACCAAGAGGTGGAAGCGACTCAAGTGTCTGTCCATCAACAGATAGATGGGTAAAAAAAAAAAGTGTATACATACAATGAAATATTATTCAGCCTTAAAAAAGAAGGAAATCCTGTTAAAATGCTACAATATGAATGAACCCAAGGACGTTATGCTAAATAAAATAAACCAGTCACAAAAGACAGATACAGCATGAGTCCACTTATATGAGGTATCTAAAGTAGTCAAACTCTCAGGAACAGAAAGTAGAATGCTGGTTGCCAGGGCTGGGGCCAGGGAAAAGGAAGTTGTCATTCAAATGGACATAGAGTTTCAGTTTTACAAGATGAGAAAGTTCTAGAGATTATTGCACAAACAAGGTACATATAGTTAACACTATTGTACCATACACTTAAAAATGGTTACGATGGTAAATTTTATGCATTTTTGACCATAATAAAAAGCAAAGCCAAGGAGATTTCAAATACAAGATGTCTCATGATAAGACTCTTAGGAGAGCTCCTATGTGGTTAAAATTGTAGTGGATACTGCAGTTTGAAACTCCTTAACTATAGTTTTCATTGACATGATGTTATGTACAAGTGAAGTCATCAATTTAAAAAAAAAAGAAAGAATTCTTGAAGGGGATGGTTTTCAAGCTGGATGTTAAAATAAGTAGGACAGCAATGGGCAGCAGAGCAGGGGGAGGGAAAGGTTTCCAGCAAATTGGGCCGAGGAGAAAAAGCGGAGTGTGTCTGCAAGGCAAGTGGACTGGTGTGGCTTATGGCAAGGTCAGTGGAGGTGGAGGTGGAGGAGGCCTGTAAGGGGAACAGGTGGAGAAAAGGGCTAAAGGAGCCAATTTGTGGAGGGTTTTAAACCTCAAGCGAAATGAGAGTTCACGTGGCTGGGCAGGGGCAGGCAGAGATCAGGTCTTGCAGGGGAGAGATGGGGAGGGCCGAGTCCCTGGGAGGCACATGTGTTGGAGCCCAGGGAGGATGGAACAAAGCGAGAATGATGAAGGCAGCATGAGTCCGTGAGAGCCCAGCCAGCAACGCTGAGCCCAAGCCCAGGGGCCTCCTCTTGGGCGATCAGATTCACCTGCAGCCAGGCCCATCACGCGCGACCTTCCCTTGAACCCCGGCAGGAAATCACCGAGAAATCCCTCATCCCCATAAATTAAAGACAACCACAGTAGCCATGACAGATTGGGGGCAAACAACAGCGGCCTCGCAGCTGTCCCTGCCAGCAGGGGTCTCAACACCCACTGGCCCGGGGCTGGGAGTGGCTGCGGGGAGAGAACCTCGCAGTGGTCTTCTAAACCAGTCTTGTGCGGTGAACCAACCGAAGGTCTCCGAGTGGGGGGCCAGGGACCCCGCTTTCATGATCATTTACTTGAGCAAATCCGCCCACTTCCAGTGGGAGCAGTGGCGGCTGGCAGAGGAAGGAGAGGGGAGAGCAGAGAATGTTCCTTTTGAAACAGACTTACAGTAACTTTCTGTTCCCGGAGGTTTCTCCGCCAGCCAGTAGGGTAGGCATTGACCAGGCACACTCCCCCGCACCCCGCTGGGCCCCCCACCCTCTCCAGCAGATCTCTGAGCTCCAAGCTCCTAACTGATGACAACTGGTTTCTTAGGACCCACAATGATTGTAAGAGGTTCCCATGTCGCATACCCCAGACTCAGTAATTTCTGAGACGGTGTATTTGAAACATTCAATTCCATTGACCCCGAGAATAATAGGGAGATTTGACAGGAGGCTGGTTCTGGAAATATGGGCCTCACACCATCCATAGCTGCCCTGTATTGAACTTATGGGCCAGGCACAGTGTTAAACTTGTGGATCATCGTGTTTAACCTTCACCGCCTCTCTCAACGGAAGGTGCTATTGTTATAGTTGCATTTTAGAGCTGGGGAAACTGAGGCTCCAAGAAGTTAAGAATTTCCCCAAGTCGTGCAGTCAAAAGTGGTGGTGCTCACACTGACTCTGCCTGCCGAACTGTGAAGCATTACAGAAAACACATTTCTGATCACCGCTGGTTAACCTTCCAGAGACGGCCTAGCAGGGGCGAAGGGGAGGTGTTTAAGGCGCTCACTTTGAGTACAAAATGCAAGGGGCGCCTAAAACCTCAGTAAATCGAGAGAAATAATATTTTAATGCAATGTTTTTAAAAATAAAAATTAATGCAAAAAATCTATGCTGAATAAAATATCCAACTTTTAAATAAGAATCCAACCAGTGACCCAGGATTGGTGGGATGGCGAGGGGGTACGTTGTGGGCTCGTTTCTTGTGAGCAGATTCTGAGAGTGGGCGGTGAGCCTTGCCCACCACTCTCCCCTTGCTTTATGCTCTTACAAAGCTGGTCTTTCCTGCCTCCTCCCGCTCCGGCTAGATTCCAAAGGAAGACTTAAAGCAACTAACTGGGTGATAAAGATTTCCACGCTGAGCAGGAGAGTGGGTCTGGAACCCCAGAGAATGAATGGAAGTCGCTTGCTGTGCTCTGCAGACCTCATGTGACTGCTGCCGTTGCTGCTGCTCCTGAGGGGACCCCGAGGGAGAGCCCAGGGCCCCTCCTGGATGGGAACCTCCCCTGCCCCGAGGCTGACCCTATGAAGAGTGCAGGAAGTTCAGTGGAGGGTGTCCATGCCCTCGTGGGGTGGTCAGCTGCTTGGCACACGAGCTTACTCCCTAATGCACTGCCATGGGCCACTGGCCAAAAGGGAAGACGCGTATTTGGGTCTTGCTGAAACACGGAATGGTTTTTCCTAAGCCCAGCCCGTGGCCTTGCCCGTGCCTTCCCAAGCCTTGGCTCCCAGTTCCCTGGAGAGTGGCTGGATGCAGCGGAGGGAGGTGTGGGCAGAGAGGGTGGCGGGCGCCACGGAGGGGAGAGCTCTTCAATCAGGCTCGGAGCCAAGTCACTGAGAGCTCCTTGGAGAGGAGAAGCACAAAGTGTCCCATTCTCGGCAAATCTCCAGCGGGGCTAGGAACAGCTCAGGGCTTAAGCGGTTGGAAATTTAAAAGGCCCTGCTGTTGAGCAGCCAGGAAGGCTGTGATCATTATCCCCCATTGTGAACGCGTTGAGGGGCTTCTTCAAGCATGTTTGAAAATCCTCATATTTCAAAATGAGGCTTGTGCTTGACATCGACTGAAGGGTGTGAGATTTGGGGTCTGAAATTCGGGGTTTGAGCTGAATTCTAGGGTGACCAATTGCTCTGGTTTGAGAGGTTTCTTAGGACACAGACTTTCAACGCTAAAGTCAGAAAAGTCCTGGGCAAATTGAAATGAGTGGCTCACTCTGTTTAGACTCCATTCTAGCAAAGCTCCCCACCCTCCTTAAACTTTACGCATCTCCTTTTCCACACATGTAGAACCTACTGATAGGACCTGCTGGGCTTACCTTGAAACTGGTGGGACTCAAAAGAGCTAATGTGTGTTGCCTGCTGCACCTTGAACTTCCCCGGTTACAGCACATCGCTGTCAGACAGGCATCTGTAGGCCTCTCCTCCCTCTTTGTGTGTGTGTGGGGGGGGGGGGGGCGCAGGTTGAGACCATCTTATTCATCTCTGCATCCCCAGGGCCAGGGTCGGGGCTTGGCAAAAAGAAATGCTCAGGAAATCTGTGCTATATCAAAAGTGCTTTGTAAAGCAAAGCACAGAATGTTGTCATTGATTGGTTGGCATTCTCATTTGCTCCCTGCCCCTGGTTAGCCCATAAGAAGGTCCTCTATAGGCTCAGATAGACAGACGTTGCTTAAGGGTGGCTGTCAAGAGGACATAGTGGGCAGCGGGGGCAGGAGGCATGGGTACTGCCTTGTTCTGGGCAAGGTGGGGTGAGGGACCCAGACAAAAGGTCAGCAGGCAGTGAGAGAAGCTAGGAGGGCCCATGGGGAGATGAGGAAACAGGTCCCTACCACGGGGAGGAGATGGGATTAAGCTGGGATCTTAGTCAGAGGACCAGCTCCATGCTCTGGCCTCTGGCTTCTGCATTCTGAAGTCCAGTGCTTGCCCTTGGCTGCCTGCCTCCCTGCCTCTCCCACGGCCGGCGATCCCTCCGGAGGGCCTTCCCTGAGGGTCACCCGGACCTTAGGGTGCTGAACTGCCCCCTTGGCCTGGGCACGGCCCACCTAGGCAGGGTGATCCCTTGCGGGCTATCTGCTCCAGCTCTCAGCACTCCATCTCCCCTCACCCCTTGCCTCTCCCATCCCAGCCCTAGTCCTGCTTCTCTGTCTCTAGGCCCCTGGAGACACAGGGTCCTGGCTCTGCTTGACAGCCAGGGTCTGGCCTTGGTTCTACCCCCCGCCCCCCTCGCCCCCGCCGCCCCAGCTTCCGTCTCAGCTGATTCCCATGGTGAGCACACCCTGTGGCTCTGGGACCATTTGGAGCTGTTGGGGGCCTGGCAGGGAGAAGAAGCATGACCCAGAGGCAGCCTGGGGTCAGGAAAGCCCCTCTCTAGCCCTTGCCAGCCTACACGGAGGCTCCCTCCCACATGTCCTCCAGATCTTTGTGGATCCTGTTTCATTCTCTGGCTCGCACATCCCTCTTGGGGCCCACGAGTACTGGGGTCACAGACATCCCCATCACCAGAGAACCCTAGAGCTCTGAGTAGAAGAAACCCCAGAGGTAACTCCTTCCTGCCTTTGAGTAGGTTAGATAGACTTGTTTGCAATTCACCGTCAGGGCAGTTAGGCTCAGAAAAGGCAAGAAACCTCCCCAAGGTCACACAGTAAAAGCAGGGCCAGCTGCTCTCCAGCCACCTACCTGAACTCTCCTTTTTCCGTCTGGTTGACTTCTTCTCCGTCTCCGTGCTCCCAAGGACCTCATAGTCCTCTCCTGGGCCTCCCGCGGCGTCCACCAGACCTGGGCTGCTGGCCCCCATCTCCCTGGAGCCCCCCGTGGGGCCTGGGTTGAGCCTACGCCGGGCCTCTGAGACAGGGAAGTGCCAGTCGGGGGGCTGTGGGAAGGCGGGGTGCTGCTCAGTGAAGACCCGCTCCTCCTGGGGCAGGCTGTGCGGGGTGGCCGCCAGGCAGGAGGCCGAGAAGTCGGGGTACGCTGCTGTCGCTGTCGCCGGGAAGTCTGGTTTCTGGTGGAAGGAGAACGGGGTTGGCGGGTAGTGGGGTAGCCCTGAGGCCCCACTGCCTTCGGAGTGGGGATTTCGAAGGCAGCCCCAGACGGGGGCCGGGGGTTGGGGGCTCCGCATGCAGCTGCTGGCCACGGGATCCATCTGCTGTCTGCAGCACGCCTCAGTCTTTCAAAGGTTCGATTCTTACCCTTTTTATATTCAAATTTTTTAAAAATGCAAAAAAAAAAAAAGTTAAAAATTAAATAGCAGGGCAAAATGTTCAACAGAAAGTTCACCCCAGGAACCAAAACAAAACCCAAAACTAAAGTCTCTCTTTCAAGTCCACACACGTGCGTATGTGTGTGCACACACTTAGGTCCGACTTCACTCCTGGCTTCCTGCCCCCGGACGCACCAGCCTGCCTAGAGGGATCCCCTGTGCGTGTATTTGTCGCCGATGACACTAAACATTTTCACTGTCCCAGCCCAGACGCGCCCGCTGATGGAGTGCTCGCCCGGAGCCCTCGGCAAAAGCCTGCAGAGGGCTGGCCCGGGGCTGCGGAGACACACTTTTAAATGCTGCGGTGGGGAGAGAGTGACAAATTTCTGAAGTGAAATGTGAGAGAGGAGAGGGAGGGGTTAACCCGCACCCACACAATCCCCTCCAACCAAAACCCGAGCAGGCAACTATTAATCATCAGAAACCTTATATGCACATCTAATGGGATTTGCAGATGGAGACTTTTAAAGAAACATTGTCTGTATTTTTTTTTTTAAGGAGAGAGAGCAGCTCACCCACACCACTTCTTTAATGTGCCTCCTGTAACACTATGAAGTTATTTTATTACACTGTTAACAAAATTCCCCAAGTCTTGGATTTGGAAAAAGCCTTAAGTCAGATCCAGAATCCGTCAAGTGCCAAATTCCAGGGAGTGAAGCAGGGAATAAGCGCAAGAGACAAGTTTGCTGATTGCGTTTGATTTAAAGGCCCTTCCACCGCTGCTTGCAAAAAGGAAGGTGGATTAAGAGGAATCTTTTTTTTGCAAGTCTCAGCGGCCCACTAGGGTCTGTGGTATAAAGAAAGACATACTCCCGGAAAAGATGATTTCTCTCTGTCCAAAGTGACATTCTCACTTTCTCAGTAACTTAAAAAAAAAAAAATCAGATTCTTCCTTCCTCTCTTTAACCCTCAACTTAATGCCAATTAGCCACACTCTTCTCTAGAGGGGGTTCAAGTCATTTTTCTCCTCGGCAAAAAAAAAAAAAGAAAAAAAAAAGAGGCTCTTAGATGAAGTCCTTGAAGTTTCTCCAGGCCTCCCGCACCTGCTCCTGGCTCCCTGACCTTCACCCACCTGCGGCCCCCTCCCCAGCCCCAGAGGCCGAGTCTGCTGTGAACTCTGGGGCATGGACATAGGAACTGGGGGTGGTCTCGTTCCCAAAGGAGTTCTCTTTGGCCAACCGTCACATGGTCTTCCCGGCTGGTGCCGACCCCAGGAGGGCCAGTTGCCATCTCAGCCGGTCAGTCAGTCGGTCAGTCAGTCCACTTCAGCACCGAGGCCTGCTGGTCCCTGTGGAGGGTTAATGTAATTCCAGGACCACAGGACAGAGCTCCTCTCCAGCGGCCCAGAGTCGCTGGATCGGGGCTGACCGGGGCCACAATAGCGGCATCTCTGCTGGCTGGTTCCGCAGGAGGAGGGGTCTTAGCGCTGCGGCCTGGAGGCTGCACACACGCTCTTCATGAAATAGGCACTGCGTCTTCTGGAATGGGCGGCCAGGGGGTTGGAGGCCAGCAGAGGAGACGGGGTGGGAGCCACAACCAGGCTCATTTCTCCGCTTTGTCCGGGACTTCGCTGCTGCATTCACATTTCTCCTCTGAACCTCACCACTCTCCCATTAGGGCAAAGTAAGAACTGTGTCCTGCATTTCACAAATGAGGAAGATGAGGCTCAGACAGATAACGGGGGCTGCTCAGAATCACACAGCTGGGAGATGGCAGAACCGAGAGCGCCCTCGGGTGTGTGGACTTTGGGCTTAAACAGGGATGAGTTCAAATCCTGGGTCGGACACTTTCCGGCTGTGTGCCCTGGGACAAGTCGCCTTACCTCTCTGAGCTTCCGTTTCCTCATCTGGGACGATTCATCCACTGATTGCTGACATTCACCCGCTGATCTTAGAACCTCACACATATTCCCCCCACTGGGTCCCCACCAAAGCCCTCTGAGGCAGGTGCTTTCCTCCTCAGCTCCATTTTTCAGAAAAGGACTCTAAAGCACAGAGAGACTGTGTAACCTGCACAAGGTCACACAGCTGGGAAGCGAAGGACCTAGAATCCAAACCCAGGCAGCCTGGCCCCACTGCATCAGAATGCCTATCCCACCGACATTTGAAAATTTTAAATCCATCGCTTCTGTGAATGGTGAAGTAGGTAAGAGGTAAGCTCAGCTCCCTTCCCAGCCTATCTCATTTTCCCTAACTGGATGATCTGAACGGAGACTGTGGGATTGGGGAGCACGGGGGAAATTCTACAGAAACAGCCTTGTAAGGTCCCTCGAGGGCCCTGGGCTGTGAGGCTCTAGATCAGCGGTTCTCAACCTGTGGGTCTCAACCCCTTTGGGGGTCGAACGACCCTTTCACAGGGGTCGCCTACGACCATCGGAAAAGACATATATAATTACATATTGTTTTTGTGGTTAATCACTATGCTTTAATTATGTTCAATTTGTAACAATGAAAATACATCCTGCATATCAGGTATTTACATGACGATTCATAACAGTAGCAAAATTACAGTGATGAAGTAGCAACGAACATAATTTTATGGTTGGGGGTCGCCACAACACGAGGCACTGTATTAAAGGGCCGCGGCATTAGGAAGGTTGAGAACCACGGCTCTAGAAGGAATCCACAGGAGGCTGGGAGGAAGAGCGGGCTGTCGGCTTCCCTAGGAAAACCTCCCTGGGGCCGCCCCGCAGGCTGTAACTGGATTCCTGCTCTGGCCTCCTCATCTGGCCCAGGGAGGCCCCGCAGCCTGGCCCTTTGCCCCTGGACGGGGTGGGCCCTGGGTCACGGTGGGGTGGGCGGAGAGGTCAGCAGGGAGGGGGCCCGGCAGGGGTGCTCTGTGCAGGACCCTGGCACCCCTGCGACCTGAGCAGCTGCTGGCGTCTGTCAGACACCCCACAGGGCACAGCCGGGGGCCCCCTGGCCTCTACATCTTCCTGACAGGCCCCTCTTCTGAGGCCAGGAAAAAACAACAACAGTTCCTCCCTCTCGGCAACCCATTTGTTAGATGAAGGCCCGGCACCAGCACCTTTAACCTCCTCAAAGTCAGCATTTCCCCGTCAAGGCCCCGCAGGTCCCAGAGACAGAGATGAATAGACTGTGAACAAAAGCCCCAGGCCCGGCGGCCAAGGGGAGCAGGGCTTCAGGAAGGGAGGGGCCCCTGTTTCTGGTTGTTGTGGGGGGCGCAGGGGGAGGAAGAGGAAAAGCGCCTGCTAGGAGGAGGGTCCCCGAGGAGCCCTGGAGTGGGCAGTTGACTTGGCCACACCTGAGCTATCCCAAGAACTTGTGGAATTTCCCTCATTGTGCACGACAAGCAGGCGTGTCCGGCCACCCCACCCGCCGGTGCCTGAGTGGCAGGGTGGCTGAGGGAGAGCCTGGGGCCACAGGCAGAAGACTCGGGTTGAAGGTGTGGCCTTGCCTTTCCTCAGCTGTGTGGTCTCAGGCAAACCACACCCGTTTTCTGAGCCTCAGTTTTCTCACTGGCAAATGGAGATGAGAGTACCAGCCTCGGGTGGCCGTTCTGTGGCCAAATGACCCGCTGCTGTGAAAAGAGCTGCTGGCTGTAAGGGATGGTGCACGTGGGGGATCATTATGCCTTTTCTTTCCTTACGTGCTGGACCCCAGGGCGTGTCACGTCTCAGTGAAGGATGAGGATGGCTCATCCTCGCCTCCAAATACCTTCCCTTATGGCCGTGGTCGGCAAACTGCGGCTCGAGAGCCACATGCGGCTCTTTGGCCCCTTGAGTGTGGCTCTTCCTAAGCCTTAGGAGTACCCTAATTGAGTTAATAACAATGTACCTACCTATATCGTTTAAGTTTAAAAAATTTGGCTCTCAAAAGAAATGTCAATCGTTGTACTGTTGATATTTGGCTCTGTTGACTAATGAGTTTGCCGACCACTGTCCTATGGCAACGTAACAGAAGGTCAATATCGTGGCCTTAGAACCAGGAGAGCAGAGGTTCTAATCCCAGCTATGTCATTAATAAGCTTAACGGCTTTCAGCAAGTCACTTTATCACTCGAGACTCAGTTTTCTCATCTATAAAATGGGAATATGCTTTTTCTTCTTTCCCCATGCAGTTGCTGAAAGAGGTGAGTGAGGTGAGCCTTACTTAGGAAAGCTTTGCCACAACCTGGTATAGAGTTTTCAGTGCTACTAGCTAGCTGCCGCTGCTGCTGATGATACCGGAGAGTTTCATCTTAAGGACAACTCCAGAAGGCCCTGTGAAAATGTATATCCCACCGAAGAGGGGCAAGATGAAGCCATTAGAGTTCACTCACATGGTTGAACATGTGAACCGGACAAGACACCTGTTACTGAGCAAGACGTTGGGGGACCGGCCAGGAGACTGATAAGCTTTGAATATGGTAGAAATCACACTGGACGGGGATGTTTACCACCAGGCCTGGCATTTATCTGGAATGTTGTGCGCCCTTTGCTTCTCAGAAGGCTTCGAGGAAGAGGGGTCACTACTGCCCTAAGGGACTTCGTGAGGCTCAAATAACAGGATGACAGGACAGAGTTGAGCAAACCACAGACTACAGTCCTCACGTCTGTCCCAGATGCCCCAAAGGGGGGCCAGACATTCCATTCTAGGGAACCAAGGATGGGGTCTTTCGCTAAGCCCCAGAAAACAGAGTTAATAGCGACAGCTTCCTCGATGAATGCTTTCGTTCATGTCTATATATATTAAACTTTAGTGCTGGCCATCTGATTGTGGGCCGAGGACTTAAAAACACAATACCCAGAGGGTCCTGCGTTGGAACCTTGGCCTTGGAAGTCACGTGACCTTGGTTGCCTACACTGAGAAGTAGAAGCTTGCTGTACAGACGACTACAGACACCCGGGAGGTGTTCCAGAAGCGGGCCCTCGCCAGGGCTCCTGCGCCTGCGAAGTGAGAGGCACGTGGAGCTCAAGGGAAGGCTCTAAGTTAGGGCAGCGGACAAAATCCAGGGCGCCCAGG